TTTCCCTATGCCCAATGGCCACAGGAAGGAGAGGAATATTCTAGAAGCTGCCAGCAATGGAGCCACAGATGGCATAGGCCTGGTTGCTAATGTAGTAGCCAACCTGGTTGCTTTTTTGGCCGTGTTGGCCTTCATCAATGCTGCCCTCTCCTGGCTGGGGGAACTGGTGGACATCCAGGGGCTCACTTTTCAGGTAAAGGATTGCATCTGCCTCTCTGGGATGTGGATAAATAGTCTTTGAACCATGCATGCCCTCCTGACCACAGTAAACTAGGAGAGAGCATGACCAGAAGGGTGGAGGAGATCTGACCAAGGTTCTGTGGTCTGTGGCACCTAACCTTTGTTACCTGTTTTCCCTTTTCCTGGGATACCTTTCTCTCAGGTCATCTGCTCCTATGTCCTGAGGCCGATGGTTTTCATGATGGGTGTAGAGTGGTCAGACTGTCCGATGGTGGCTGAGATGGTGGGAATCAAGTTCTTCACAAATGAGTTTGTGGCCTATCAACAACTGTCTCAATACAAGAGCAAACGTCTCTCTGGCGTGGAAGAGTGGATCGAGGGAGAGAAACAGTGGATTTCTGTAAGTGACAATCCAGAAAGGGAGAAATAGTGAGGGGTCTCAGCCGTGGCTCTGAGGGTAGACAGAATGCTACAGAATGGTTTGTTACAGACCCATAGACCCCTTTCTGGGGTCGTAGGCCTAACCATAGAGCAAGAAGAATGGTGTGCCAAGCAGCTTTCTCTCCAGTGCCTGGGCTTCCTCTGTGCTATGTGCCCCCACACTCTAACCCAGCCTCTCCCTGTAACGTAGTTGTTGGGCTTTGTGACCGGAGCAGTTCAGGGCAGACACTGTTTTTTGAAGATCTAAGGTCCCTGTCTTCATTTGTAAGTTTAAGTTGGTAGAATTTGATCTCCTTTCGCCTCTCAGTTCTTTTTCTTTCTTTCCTTTTCTTTTTCTTTATTCTTTTTTTTTTTTTTACAAATTATTTACTTAATTTATTCATTCAATTATTTAATTTGACCAGAGAAAGACTGAGAGAGAGAGAAAGTAAGAAAGCAAGCCACCAGGTGTGGGATTTGAACTGTAGTCAGTCATGTGGGAGTGTCCAATCCAGAGCCTTGTCCCTCAGTTCTTCTTTGTTAATCATCTTCATTCTTTTTTTTAAAGAAAGATTTTTGCTATAGGGTGTGTGTGCTCGCCAGAGAGACAGAAAGTGAGAACTCACCCCCTAGAGGGGATGGCCACGCCCCAATCCCTTCTCCATTCTCTCGGAATCTTGGGCATGCACTCACATGCGCCCAGAGTGAGTTTCAAGCCACCAGGTCTGGGGCTTGAGTTGTGGTCCACTATGTGGGAGTCCAGCAACGTAACCATTATGCCATCTGCTGGTCCCAATCACCCTCATTTTGAAGCCTCTCTCCATTAATAGGTTTCAAGAAGAACAGTGTTAAGTAAGCACTGAGGTCCTTGGTGATTCCCAGATCATTGCCCCATGTAGTAGTAACTCAGGAGCAGCTGTCTGCTGAGCGATCTGTCCATGTTCCCTAGGGTAGTGTGGAAAAGATGAACAGCTCTAAATACTCAGTCATGATTGTAAGATTACACACATGGGACTCAGTTTATTTACTTCTTTATTTTTCTTTTTCCTAGGAGAGAGCTGAGATCATTACCACGTTTTCACTCTGTGGATTTGCTAATCTTAGTTCCATCGGAATCACACTGGGAGGCTTGAGTGAGTTCCCCCATTTGCCCAGCTCCCCAGTACACGGGTCAGACTCCAGCTTCTGCAGTGGGCAGAACTTGTGCTTCAGTGACGTTGGGGCCAGGTGGAGAAGCTATGCATGGAGCCCCTTACAATCTCAGTGTTTGTTGCTCTTCCCCCTTGGGTTTGGAGGCCCAAATGACCACTTTTATTTTCATTTTTCCTCTAAGGAAAAAAATATAATAATGCTATTATTTTTACTTTGCCATTAAATGGGCATGGTGCCTATGTAAGTACAGATACTTTGTTTTTTTATTCAGTAGCAAAAGTACTTGCTGAAATTAAGCTACTCACAAGTCGTTTTCACAAGAGCAGGATTTGCAAAAGGAATTGAAAGACAAACAAAAGCAGCAGACATATAAGGCAGAGGACAGTAAGAGCCAGTGGCATAAAGCGTTGGATTGAAAACTACAAGTCAGCCGGTATGGGAGCAGTTGAGTCTTTGAAGCAGACAGATATATTGGGTCATCGGGAAAGTCATGATGCACTTTTGCATAGAAAACTCTGTCATGGCTTTTCCAGTGATCCAATAGTTAAACTGCTGGAGCTGTTGCTGAATGGGAGGGATGGTGGAGAAATAACACGAGGAAGGGGGGAACTGTCCTTGAGGACTAGCAGGTCCCAAGAGTTTGGAAGATTCACACGATGGCAATGATCTTAAAGAAATGGAACATAAGTACAAATATGTAACCATTTAATGGCAATCATATTCTGGGGGTAGAATCATGGAATTCTTTTATTTTGGTAGTTGATTGAACAATTTAAACTTCAAATAATTTCTTTTTTTTTCCAATTTATTTATTTGCATTCATTCACTGTACATCATTACAGCATACAAAATGAGATTTTCCATCCAGAGTACACTGTATATTGTCTCAATCAAGCACATCAACAAACATATTAGCAAATGATCTTCCATTTCTTGTTTTCTGTATGTTTTGCTTTTTTCCCCCCATCCTTGGTTCCCTATCTCTCACCCTCTGCCACCTCCTGTTCTCCTCCCACACTGTCTGTTATCTATGTTTGCTTTCTATACCATTTCCCCCCCACATTTTATTGAATCACCAAAGACCCTCATCAATCCAAATACCCTCCTAGCAAACACATGTGACACATTTCCATGAGCACAAGTCTAACTTTACGCATCCTATCAAGTAGCACCTAACTGGGGCTACATATCCTACTGCAGTCATTGAATAGATATATTTTGTTTTCCTGAAACTTTTTTTTTGTAACTCAATTTACATTCCTTCCCTAGGCATCATCACAGCACACAAAATGCGATCTCCCATCCAGTACACACTGCATAGTGACTCAATCATGCACATTACAAAAAAAAAATAAATTTCCAATTCTAGTTGCTAGAATTATTTCCACCCCTCTTTCTGACCCTCTGTCCCTTCCCACCCTCCTCTCACACCACCTCTAGTGTCCAAAATTGTCCTCCATTCCCTTCCCACCCACATTGCATTGATCACACAATTTCCTACATAACCTGACTACTTTCAAAGGTGAGTTCCCTCGTTACTACTAAGAAAACCAGTTTTAACTTAAATCAAAGAACCGCCAAGGAACTTTGCTTAAAGCCCGGAAACAGGTTAGGATTCTGTTCAAATGGTAGGTGCATGAACCTATCAGTCTCATATACTTTTATCTTCTGTTCTGGTTCAATTTTCCTGATTAAATTCTGGGATATAGTATTCAACTCCAGACTTGTCCCTATGATTAAGTTAGCTACTTTCTCAGTTTTTGGACTCTTATTTCCATGTATCTGCGTTTAGTTTTCCTGATACAGCACATCCTTGAGAACTTCTTGGAGGTCTGGTCTGGTGCTGGTAAATTCTTTCAGGTTTTGTTTATCTGAGAATGTTCTTGTCTTTTCTTCCCACCTGAAAGATAATCTTGCCGGATACAGTATTCTTGGCTGAAACTGCTTCTCTCTTAACACTTGGAATATATTTTCCCATTCTCTCCTCGCTTTTATTGTTTCTGATGAGAGATCTGCTGTTAGCCTGATGGGATGTCCTTTGTAGGTAACTTGATGTTTTTCTCTTGCTAATCTTAGTATCTTGTCTTTGTCTGCAGTTTTGGTCAACCTGGCTATAATGTGTCTTGGAGAAGATCTTCTAGGGTTGATTCTATTTGGGGTCCGTTGTATTTCCTGGGACTGGATCTTTGAATGCCTCTCTAGGTTTGGAAAGTTTTCTTGCAGGATTTCCTGGAATAGATTATCAATGCCCTTATGGGTTTCCTCACCTTCTGGAATGCCAATTATCCGGATATTTGGACGTTTGATGGTATCCAGTACTTCTCGCATATTATTCTCAAATTTTTGTGCCATTTTCTCAGCCTTCATGGTGGATTTTTCTAGGCCAGCCATTTTCTTCTCTACATCTGAGATTCTCTTTTCTGAATGATCTAGTCTGCTTTTAATGCTTTCCAGGGAGATTTTGACTTCTTGTATTATAGACTTCATCTCTAGCAGTTCCGTTTGAGTCTTTTGTAAAGTGTGTAATTCCACTTTTAGATCTTGCAGGAATTTCCTCATCTCTTGGAACTCGTCAATTTCTTTCTCCTTTCTCTTTAGCAGTTCATTATCTCTCTTCTCTTCCATCTCTGTTAGCTTAGACATTATGAATGATCTGAATTCCTTATCAGACATTTCCATGATTTTCACCGAACTGCTTGTGGATGAAGAGTTACTCTTTTCCCTAGGAGGAGAGGTATTTTCTTGTTTTCCCATGTTCCTCGTGATCCGGCGGTGATTTCTTGTCATCTGATGAATGTTGTGTTTCTTTCAAATTCTTGAGGTTCAGCCTTAATGTTCAGGAGCAAGCAGGCAGAGGTGATCCAGAAACTCTTTGCTGTTCTATTGTGCTTGCTGGTGCAGCAGATTCAGTAGATAGTGGGGAATATTTCAACCCTATTAGTATTTGAATGTTTAGCTACAGTGCTCTTAGATCTGTCTAAAAACACATTGAAAGGATATTGGAGGTTGGAGAGACAAGAAAAAAGAAAACGAGACAGAGAAAAACAACAAAAAGAGAAAAAAAGACAAAAAAAATTAAAAAATTAAAAATTTGTAATTACTGTTCTTTTTTTAAAAAAAATCACAAAATACAAAACCGCGCGGCGCGCAATCTAGTTCACAGTAGCCATGTGGAACCTTGTCCTGAAGGCCCGTGGCTTCTTCTGCCGCTAGCTTGTTTGTTGGAGGCTGAATTATTAGTAGAAAATCTTCATTCCCTTAAAAATCTAGTTCACAGTAGCCATCTGGAACCTTGTCCTGAAGGCCCGTGGCTTCTTCTCAAGTTCAAATAATTTCTTTTTTAAAGCATGTGTCTATGCTGTTCTAATTCTGATTAGATTAGGAGATTACCATCCACTAGTGAGATATGCACTGTGTGGCCAAGGCTTAGGTGCATGTCGCTCTGCTTAGTTCTCTGGCTCAAAATAGCCCATCTAATTCTGGGCTTAAGAGTGTAGATCTCAGGACTAGCAGTTGGTGTTATGGCTGTGTTGCTGGGCTCCCATGTAGTCGACTGCAGTTCAAGTCCTGGACCCGGTGGCTTAAACTTGGGCACGTGTGCGGGCGTGCCCAAGATCCCAGGAGGAGAATGGAGAAGGGACTGTGGTGTGGCCATGCCCCCAGGGGGGTGATTTCTCGCTTTCTGTCTCTGTCTCTCTCTGCACACGCCCTATAGCAAAAACCTCTCCAAACAAAAAAAGAGTACAGATCTCAACTGGCAGACCCACAGATACCTTTCGAGGTTGCAGGCCTAACCATAGAGCAAGCAGAACCATGTGCTGAGCAGCCTTCTCTCCAGTGCCTGGGCATTTACAACTGTCCGGAGCAATCCAGAGCCTTGGTTGATCCAGACACATCTTGGGTATGTTCACAGGACCACTTAAGTTAGAGTCAGACATGTAATTCTTGACCTCAGACAAGTCTGAGTCAGCGATCCCTCAGGACCGAAGTGTGTACATCTTCTTCATAGGGCATACTAGCCTGCCTCGTGGTTGGTGGCGAGGGTATTATCCATCTGCAGTGTTTTGTTCCTCTGCGTTCGTCTAAATGGGGCTCGTGGGACATATCTGATTGCCTCGTGGGGAAGGGATCAAGTTATTTTTGTTTTATTGTCTGCAGCATCAATGATACCCAGCCGGAAGAGTGACTTGTCCAAGGTTGTGATCAGTGCCCTCTTGACAGGGGTCTGTGTATCCCTTATCAGCGGCTGTATGGCAGGTAGGTGCCGCAGCTTGGTGTCTTGGCAGAACTCACTTAGATCATGACAGGATCTCTCCAAATGTTGATTTCACCATTCATCCTGCAGATGCATAGAAAAGGCACCTAATCCACAGCACTCGCAATTCACACCCAAAGAGTAAAGAGCCTCCAGAAACATCTGTAAAATCTTCTCCTTAGCATCTCTGCCTCCTTTATTCAGGAATCCTCCATGTCACCAGGGGAGCTGAAACTGACTGCGTCTCCTTCCTAAACACCACTTTCACCAACAGAACCTATGAGACCTACGTATGCTGCAGAGGGCTCTTTCAGAGGTGAGTGAGCAAGCACCAGGACCCTGCACCCTCCTCTTATACACTGTCCTCCGAGCAAGAATCTCTGAGGAAAAGGATGGGAGAACCCTGCAGAGACTGAATAGACGGCATGAGAGAGACACAGGTATCAGAGGTGGCCTATATCTGCACGATTTCTGCTTATTAAATGCATATTTGGCATTAGCTCTTGTGAACACAAGGACGACAACTATCTGTTTTGATGGGGTACTAAGAAATAGAGGCCAGAGAAAGAAGTGAAGAATGTTGGTTTCCCTGATAAGTCACTGTATTTATTGTGGTTGGAATATAGACAGATTGTAGGTAAAGATGGAATGATGGTCCTACATAGCTAAAAAAATTACGGACTTCTTCAGACAGCAATGAAGAAGACTCAGCGAGGATAAAGTTAACCTCATAGAATCACGATGAGCTTGATAGTGTAAAAATGAACTTGTTTATCAGATTTTAACGATAGACAAAGAATATATCATTAAGCTAAAAGAACTATTTACAAAAGGAAAGAGTTGAGAAACAAGGATGTTTGGTACTATCGAAGTGAAAGATAGGTGTATTGGTGGTGATATGTGGGTGAGCAAAGAGAGTCCTGGGAGATCATGAAAGGATTTGAATGGAATACTAAAGAGTCTAGTTTTAACCTGAGAATTCTGAACACTGGCAAGATTAGCTATGCTTTTTGTTTGTTTCTTTTTTTAAAATGTATTTATTTTACACTTATTCACTGGGCATCATCACAGCATACAAAATGTGATTTCTCATCCAGAATACAGTGTGTAGTGGCTTAATCATACATGTTGTTTTCAACAGATAATTTTCCATTTGTTTCATATATGTGTGTGTGTGTGTGTGTGTGTGTACATATTCCCTCCCCCCCCCATTTCTTACCTTGTCCTTTCCCACTCTCCTCCCACACTGTCTCTGGTGTCTATAGTTGCTTTGCATTCTTTCCCCCCCACACATTTTATTGATCCACAAGATACCTTAATTAATCTAACTACTTTAATAGCAAGTTCAACTGATACACACATTTCTGTGAACACATGTCTGACTTTAGGCACGAAACTCTGAGTAGAATGAATATAATATAAAGTAGTACCTACCTGAGTCTAAATAGCTTACAGTGGTTATTAAATAGGTATTTTAAAATATATTTTTAATTTCAAGAAAAGCAGTTTTAGCTTTAATAAATCAAAATTTAAAAATATTGGGACCAGCAGTTAGCGTAATGGCTATGTCGCTGGACTCCGGTGCCCCCCCATCGGGGCGGCCCCCCCCCCCCGCGAATATGGCAATTATAGACATATATTCACACATACGCATATATATATATATATATATATATAAAGAGAACTTTGCTTAAGACTTAAAAACCAGGAAACAAGTTAGGATAATGTTAAAGTAGTAGGTACCTGAACCTATTGATAGCTCAAGAGAAGGCAAAAATCCTTAAATCTGGAAAACAAAGCATAGAAGAAAATCAGTAATGTTTTAGTCAAAAGTCATCAGATTCTATTTTACCAGTTCAGTCTCATGTACACAATTATCTTCTGTGGTGATCTGATCTTTCCATTTATATTCTGGAAGATAGCATTCAACTCCAGACTTGTCCCTATCATTAAGCTGGTAATTTTTTTAGTTGTTTTTGAACTCTAATTTCTGTGTGTCTGTATTTATTCTGACATGGCATTTCATTTAGAACTTCTTGGTGAATTAATCTGGTATCGGTAAATTCTTTCAGATTTTGTTTATCTGAGAATGCTTTTGTATTTTCTTCCCATATGAAGGATAATCTTGCCAGGTAAAGTATTCTTGGTTGAAATGGTTTTTCACTTAACATTTTGAATATATTTTCCCATTCTTTCCTTGCTCACAATTGTTTCCGATGAGAGGTCCGCTATTAACCTGATGGTATATCCTTTGTAGGTAACTTGACATTTCTCTCTTGCTAATCTTAGTATCTTGTCTTTGTAGTTTTGTTCAATCTGGCTATAAGGTGCCTTGGAGAAGATCTTCTTGGGTTGATTCTACTTGGGGTCCTTTGTATTTCTTGGGTCTGTATCTTTGAATGCCTTTCTAGGTTTGGGAAGTTTTTTTCCAGAATTTCATGGAATAGGTTATTAATCCCCTTATTAGTCTCTTCATCTTCTGGGATACTGATTATCTGAATGTTTGGGCACCTAATGGTATCTAGTAATTTCTCATATATTATTCTAATTTTTTTGGCTATTTTCTCAGTCTTAGTGATGGATCATTTTAGGCCAGTGATTCTGTCTGCTACATATGAGATTTGATCTTCTGTATGATCTAGACTGCTTTGAATACTTTCAAGGAAGTTTCTGATTTCCTGTATTACAACCTTCATCTCTAATAGTTCCATTTGATTCTTTTTTGTAGTGTATATTTCCTCCTTCAGATCATGCAAGAACTTCCTCACCTCCTGGAACTTGTCAGCTCTTCTGGAATTCATTGTCTCTCTTCTCTTGCATCTCTGTTAGCTTTGTCACTATGAATATTCTAAATTCTTTATCAGACATTTCCTTGAGTTCAATCGTACTGTCTGTGGATGAAGAAGATTATTCTTTTCCCTTGGAGGAGAGATATTTTCTGGGTTTCTCATATTTCAGTGATTTCTGGTCATCTGACAGGTTATACATTTTTTCCTAATTTCTTGAAGTTCAATTTGAGCATTCAGAGGCATGAAGGAGGAGGTGATCTGGAATCCCTCTGCCATTCCATTTTTCTCCTCTTGTATGTCAGATTCAGTGGGAATGGAAGAATATTCTGACCCTAATAGTATTTGGATGTCTGTCTATGGTTCACTTAGACCTGTCTAGACACTCTGTGTGTGGAGGTTGAGCAGCAAAGTGAAGGTAAAAGAAAAAGAAAAAGAAAACAGAGGAAGAGGAAAAAAAAGTCATTAAAAATTTTTTTCTTAAAAAAGCAAAAAACCCACATGCTAATGTGAAAGTAATTTTTCATAGCTCAAGTTCAGTAGGCATCTCAGAGGCCTGTGTTTTGCCTCTCCTAAATAGGAGGAGGAAATGTCGAGAATTAGCAAAATAAAGGAGATTCTGAGAGCCAAAACAATGCTTTACCTTAAAAAAAAAAAATTAAAAGACAGACACAGATAGACGAATGATACAGAGTGTACGAAATCTCAGCAGAAAATCTTCAGTTTTAGTCCCTGAAAATAATTTTTCATAGCTCAGGGTTAGTAGGCCTCTCCAGATAGCTATGCTCGCTCTTTCTTTCTTTCTTTCTTTCTTTTTTTTTTAGTTTAGTTTTATTTTGTTTTTGCCGTAGGGAATGTGCATTTGCATAGAGAGTCAGAGAGAGGGAAAATGAGAAAGCACCTCCCTTCCCCAGGGAGCATGACCACACCACAACCCCTTCTCCACTATACTCCTATCAGGACTTTGGATACGCATGCACATATGCTTGGTGTGATTTTCAAGCCGCCATATCCGGGACTTGAACAGGGGTCCAGTATGTGGGAATCCAACCCTTTAACCAGCATGCCACCTGCTGGCCCTGGAAAATGCCTTATAATCCTCTGAAGGAGTTGCACTGTTCCTGGAAGTACTGCAATACCAGGTTGACGTGTGGAGTAGATGGAGCAAAGCTCCTATTTTTTCTCCCTGATCCATAATTCCATTTAATATTTTGTCTTTGGATGTGTTACATAGTAAACTGATAAGAACATTTACTACACTTGATCTTGGCTGAGAAGCAATCAGCTATGCTTTTTAAATAAATCATTTTGGGAGCCATTTGCATGGCAAGGAGACCAAAAGACATTGCTGCAGTAGTGCTGGTGAGAGACGATGAGGACCAATGTAAGTGGTTGTGAGATGGAGATGCACTGGGCTAGAGTCAATAGGGTTAGTCATTGGCTAGATAGGATGAAGGGGCGAGGTGAGGAGGGAAAGGAGTCTCCAATGACCATCTCTTTTTCTGGCCTGGGCAAATGGGTCTAATGAGTGCCATTCATTCACTGAGAAGAAGAGGACTCGTTCCAGGAAATGGGAGTAAAGGGCAGAGATTACAGCTTCGTTCAGTTTTGGATATATAAACTCAGAGGTACCTGTGGGACCACCATTTGGAGCTATTCACAAGTCACCTGGGTTCCAGGGTTCAGGAGAGAAATCAGAGCTGGAGATAGATTTGGAAGAGATACCTGGAAAGGAAAGTTTCAAATAGACTTTGGTTAGAGATTGGGCACAGGAGTAGACACATTGTACAGAGCTTCTTGCTAGGATTATATTGAGTATGAATGAGAGAATACATTTAATTCGGTCCAATTATTTGATCTTAGTCAATGAATTCATATTTAGGTTTTTGTTTTCAACTGCTTGATATAAATTAATGATAAATGTTTTGCATTGTTTTTGTCTGACCTACTATGTATGTCTCTGACTTTTCATTTCAGCACGACTCTGAATGGCACTAACCCTCCTTCTTTCTCTGGCCCCTGGGAAGGCAACGAGTTCAGTGCCATGGCCCTGGCTAACTGCTGTGGACTCTACACCAATGCCGTCTGTGCCTAAGCCTGGTTGGTCCATTTCCACATTCTCTGGTCCTAACAGTTTGCTGATGGCGAAGATGTTATATACTCAGGTTTCCCATTCTCCTGTCAACTCACCAAGATGTTAAATGGTAAATGTAAGATTCATTTTGGTTCAACGATATCCCAACAATGAAAATTAGCAATTGTCTTTTTATTATTTGATTGACCCACATAGGAAATGTCTCATGGGCCCTATCTGAGTTTTTCTTTAAACAAATAAATATTACCATAAAAAATCTTACAAACCTTGCTCCTAGTTGCCATCATAAAAATTATGTGATAGAATGCACTATAAATGTGATTCAATATGTAATGTGTATTGAGGGAGGAGAAGCTATATTTTTTTGGAGTTCTGTGGAGGAGCTGGGTTTATATTTCTAAAGTTATATGTGAAAGGTACATGAATATTAAATTTAGTGATGGATTTTTCTGGTCATCACACAAATTTGCAAACCTGGAAACTCTTTAATATCATTACACAGTAAGCAAAAAATATTTCCTGTCTACAGACCGCTAAGGCATATCCATTTCTTTACTTTGTTTTGGTATTTGTCTGACATATTTGCTTCAAGTTTAAGGGAATCCTTGGAAACAGTGGTTTTCAGTGGGGGTGGGGGTTGGGTGGGTGTCAGTTTTGCCTCCTGGGACATTTTGATAATGTCTTCCGTGCTTAGTATTACAACAGAGAGGATGCTACTGACATCTAGTGGCTAGAGGTTAGAATTGCTGCTAAAATTCCTAGAATGCCCAGGGCAGCCTCCCACAAGAATTCTCTGGCCTCACATGTTAGCAGCATTGAGGTTTGATTCAAAATATGTAATATTTAGGGACCAGCAGTTAGTGTAATGGCTATGTCGCTGGGTTCCCATGTAGTTGACTGTGGTTCGAGTCCCACAGTCAACTCACGCCGGACGTGTGTGCGTGCGTGCCCAAGATCCTGAGAGGAGAATGGAGGAGAAGGGATTGCGGCGTGACCATCCCCCCTGGGGGGTGATTTCTTGCTTTCTGTCTCTATGTCTCTCTCTGTCTTTCTGGCGAGCGCACGCACCCTATAGCAAAAACCTCTCCAAAAATATGTAATATTTAATGTATTATATGTAATATTAATTATGATAGTAATACTATCATAGCCTCAAGGAAGGTTTCAAAAAGATGTAAGACTTCTTCAAAAAGTTAAATATAGATACTGTAAATCCCCATGATTCCACTGCTATATAGATACTCAGAAGAATTAGAAACAGGTACTCAAACAAGTTCATGTACATACACTCCTGTTCATAAAAACATTATTTACAAAAGGCAAAAAATGAGAACTGCCCAAATTGTCCATCAGCAGATGAAGGGATATATGAACAACGAAATTTAATTCAGTTATAAAGAGGAACCCTGAAATTATATTAAGTGGGTGCCAGCAGGTGGTGTGGTGGTTAAGAGCACTGGATTCCCACATGGCCGACCATGGTTCAAGTTCCGGACCTGGCAGTTTGCCTTCTCACTTTCCTTCTCTCTCTCTCTCTCATTCTGCCTCTCTCTGGTCAAATTATAAATAAAGAAATAAAGTTAAACAAAATAATTCTTAAAAAAGAGAAATCATGCTAAGTGACAAGAGGCTTATTTGTTGTATGATTCCATTTACATGAAATATCCGGAGAAAAGAAATCCATGGACACCACAGATTGGTGGCTGCCAGCGACCACAGGGAAGACGGAGTAGAGAACAACTCCTTGTTGAGCGTGGGGTTACTCTGGAGTGCTGGAAATGTTTCGGAAGGAGACAGAGGTGGTGATTTACAACATTACAAATGTCCTGAGTGTCACTGAATTGTTCACTTTAAAATGGCTAACTTTGTATCATGTGAATTTCACCTCAATACATTTTTTAACGGATGTGGGTACTTGAATGTGCCCTACGCTAACCTATTTCTCTAGCTTCCTAGTTCACTGAGCTCAGAACCTCTAGATCTTCTTCTAAGTCTCCATTCCTGGCCTCCTTAAAGAAAAACTACCACTTCCTGAACTGCAGATAATTTAACCCTAGGTCTGGTTTCTTGTGAGAGGCAGCAAAAGGTAATGGTTATTAGTGGTGGACACCAGGCAGATTACTGGAGTATTTTTGTTTGTTTGTTTGTTTGTTTTCCCAGAGGGTGCCCGAACTCTCCAGAGACAGACAAAGAGAGAGAGAGGGAGAAAACACCTCCCAACAGGTCACCCATGCATACATGCCTACATGTTTTGCTTTATGTATATGACGTTTATCCAGACCACTGCGTATAGAGCTACTTCATTCTATTCATTTTATTGGCTTCCTGATACTCCATGGAAGGGTGTGCCTAAGCAATCTATTTCCCTAGTGATAGACATTTAGGTTGATTTGTATTTGGCTAGCTACTTCTAGGGCCTAATTAAGGCATGTTTTTCAAGCCACTAGGTCTGGGATTCAAACCATGGTGGACATATGGGATCCAGGTCCCTTAACTACTGGACTGCTGTGGGGGCCCTCTCTTACATTGCTGTTTGTTTTATGATTTTCTTCTATTGCAGCAAGTAGAAAAATGGTTGCCATAAAGTCTGACAATTCCCTCGAAGACAGAATTGTTTTATTTGGAAAGCTAATTTGATCAGTTCTTTGAATATGGAGGTCCATGAGGGCAGAGATCAAGTTGGTTTTATTTGTTGCCAAAGTCCCAGGAGCTAGCAAGAAAAGAAATACATAGATTTGTTGAATCAATATAAAATATGAAGCTCTGGGGCCAGCAAGTGACATAGTGGTTAAGGTACTGGACTCCCATGTAGCCAACTGCAGTTCAAGTCCCGGACCTGGAGGCTTGAAACTCATGCCAGGCACATGTGCATGTGTGCCCCAAATCCTGAGATGAGAATGGAGAAGGGATTGTGGTGTGGCCATCTCCTTAGAGGGAGATTTCTCATTTTCTGTCTTTCTGTATCTCTCTGTCTCTCTGGTGAGCTCATGTGCCCTGTAGCAAACATCTCTCAACAAAAGAGAGAGAGAGATATGAAGCTCCAAGAACTTGGGTCCAAATACCTAGAGTAAAATGAAGTAAAAGAAAATGTTTGCTAAACCAAAGAACACATGAAAAGTGCATACACTGCCTAGTACAGATCAAACATTTTAGTGGTGTTAGCTATTATTGCTACACAAGTATAACAGGAAAGAGGGTGTGGGTAGCAGGTAGTATAGGGGAAAGTAATTAAAACTGAGCATGGAGCAAAATGGTGCTGGACCATGGCTTTTTGTAAAGAGATGGCCAGTGAGAATTTCTGAGAGGCGACAATGGGCAAGAAGCATTTAAGAACAGGACTACCTGGGACCAGCAGGTGGCATGGTGGTTAAGGCACTGGATTCCCATATGGCTGACAGTGGTTCGAGGCCTGAACCTGGCAGAGGTGGTGGTGGTGGTGGTGGTGTGGCCATCTCTTCTTGGGGGTGACTTTTCACTTTCCTTCTCACTATCTCTCTCTGTCCCTCTGGCAAGCCCACCTATGGCAAACCTTAAAAAAAGGGAAACCTAAAATGTACCTGTCACAAACCTCACCATCCTTGGCCTCAAATGTTCAGTAAAGTCTAGTATACCCATGGTCTGGGACTGGTGACATTCTGAAATATTCCATAATCCAAGAGATGTGTACAAGGTACAGGAAGCCCAGTCAGCAGGGACAGACAATTTAACAGGAGTTAAACAAGCGCTAGACTATAGGGAGAAATCTTGGAAATGCTGGGAACAAAGCTGGTTTTTCTCATTTTATATAGGGTGAGAGTTCAAGAGCATTTTCATTAAATCCTAAAGGATAGAGATCCTCCAGTAGACTAGAGGACTTTAGGGACATTAAGACAGCTAAACCTTGAGTTAGACATCTGTGGTCACTCTATGTAAATTGCATTTATGTTATATCCTCCCGGCTAGACTGTGAGTTTCCAGAACAAGAAACTATGACCAGTGAGTTGAATTTGCATGACATTTTTTGATGTATGGATTTCTTTTCTTCACATGAACTCATTGGAACTAACAAAACCTCTTGTGGTAGGTATGACAGGCCTCACTCCTCCCTCTATTCTAAAGACAAGGAAATGCAGAGAGAGATTAAGTACGCTTGTCCTTGGTTATGAGCTAACAGGGACCTAAGCCAGTCTCAGGAGAAAAGGACATAGTATTATAAGACTTTGATGATCTGGGTGAGATTAGCTTTCTGGTCTCTTTATTACCATTCTATCTTGCCATCTTTCTTGCAAGTGACTTTGAGAAAGGTACCTAACCTACCCTCTGTCATCACTGTTATACAAATGAAGTAAGGGCTTTGTGAAAGTCTCTGAGGATGTTAAATATCTCAACTTTAAAGACCTTGTCATGTAGAGATTCTTCATGAATATTCGTTTTCTTTCTTTGGTTCTCTGACTTTCTTTTCTTTCATATTTCTGTCCTGTAAAGCTCAATACTATTAGACTCTGAATGTTTGCATTCTATTCAAACTCATATGTTGAAATCCTACCCATTAAAGAGATAGTGTTAGGAGGTGGGACATGAGGGTTGATCCTTCATGAAAAAAAATTAGGTCAGGAGGGTAAGCCCTCATGAATAGGATCAGTGCTCTTTTGTAAGAAGCCTAAGAGAAACCTCTTACCCCTTCTGCCCTGTGAACGTACAGTGAGATGATTGGTGAGATGATTGGTGTAGGAGGAGACTTCCAAAAGTTCATGGAGGGCCAGCCAATGGCATGGTAGTTAAAGTGGCTGTATCCTGCACGGTCTACTGTGCAGTCAAATTCTAAACCCAGTGGCTTGAAGAAAAACACACAGGCACAGGTGTATGTATGCCCAATTTCCTGAAAGGGGAAATGGAAGAGAAGGGATTGTGATAGGGTGATTTCTCACAAACCCTCCCCTCTCTCTCACTCTTTCTTTGTCTCTTTCCAGTAAGCCCATGTACCCTCTAGCAAAAAATAAAAAAGTTTGTGGAAAATTGAAATTTAAGTATGAATTTAGTTTAGTGCAAACAAAAATAAATAAGAATTTTGAAATCCATTTTTTCATAATATTCATATCTTACACAAACTTTTTGCAGATACCTTGCCTCTATGAGAAAATGGACCTTCACCAAACAATCTGTGAGGGGCTTGCTCTTGGACTTCCCAGCCTCCAGAACTGTCAGAAATAAATTCATGTTGTTTAAAAGTCACCTCGTCTAGGCCCAGGAATGGTGGTGTAGGTGGTGAAGTGTTGCTCTGTAATGCTGGAACCATATCGGGGAGGAGGAGGGCTGGAGTTTGGATCCTGGCTAGACCTAGATAACCTTGGGTATGTACATGACCTGGATAACTGGAAGGTGATGGGGTAGGGGGTGTGTGTGTCATGTCATGGTGGAACCTGTTAAGGCTCTCTCTCTCAAGAAA